CAGGTGGGGCTTGGGGGGGGGGGGGTTTGGCACATGCAGTTTCTGCCTTTCCCCAAACTGGTTCTTTCCGAGACAGACATAATGATGTCGAACTAGTTGTTACTTGGTTAGTTGACCCGGGCTTTGTTCAACCTTTTTTTTTTTACTTTCTAGGCTGTGATTGTTTATGAATGCCTCTCGGAATGGGGCCAGGTTCTCTGTTCAATCTGCCCCAATCCCAAGCTGGTCATTACCGGGGGAACCAGCACAGTCGTCTGCGTGTGGGAAATGGGCACTTCCAAGGAAAAAGCCAAAGCACTCACTCTTAAGCAGGTAAGGATTTATTTCAACCCAGTTGGATACCTTTCCAGCCAACCAAATGAACACTTGTCCTGTTGAAATGTCATAAGAAGTCAACATGTGTGATGTATATGATCATGCCAATCTAAATGACAGGTGTCAGAGAGAATGACAGTCCAGGTAACCAGACCAAACCGGGTCTGGCTGGTGTATAGCTGTGCTGTATCAGGGTGACTCAGCAGCAAGCTGATTGGCTGGTCTATGTATATAGGTGTGTATAGTCTGTACACTGTGTTCTTCTTCTTCCATTGATTGTCTGGCAAAGCACTTTGTCCGTGAGAGCTGTGTATCTGTAAATAAAATCACTGTATATAGTTTACCACAAAGAACTGTGTCAGTGTGGTTCACTGCAGTGAAACTTCAGCAGGGTGCAAGTGTGATCTTTGACTGAGAGCTGACCTGACGACGCAAGCTGTGCACCACGCGACATGTCCCTGTAGAGATTTTTTAGGCTAGAAGTGAGTGTCAGGGAAGTACTTGGGTAAGGGGCCTGTTTTGAATTTCCTGAACTAAACCCTTTCCTGATTACTTCGTTGTCAAAGTCACCATGCACATTCTGTGTTCAGTTCAGTGAGGTTTGCTTGGGAAATTCCCGTTGACAGTCAGAGTTTGCAACCTCTATATTCTCTTTCCGTAGCCCTGTGTTGCTCAGAAACCATATTTAACTTGCTGTGACAAGCAAGTAATAATGTCCGTCCCCTCCCAGTTCGCATTTTACTTTCAATTTCTCATAAGCAAAGCAGATCTGCTGTCTATATCTGCAAATGTTTTGGCATGCATCCTCTTCTGCTTTCCTTTTAGGCGCTGCTGGGCCATACAGAGACAGTCACGTGTTTAACGGCCTCACTGGCCTATCACATCATTGTGAGCGGATCCCGTGACCGGACCTGCATCATCTGGGACTTGAATAAACTTTCCTTCGTCACCCAGCTTCGAGGTCACCGGGCCCCAGTTTCAGCACTCTGCATTAACGAACTGACGGTATGAACCCAACGTACACTGGCTAAGCATCCTTGCTAGATGTGGCTTTCTGGAAGATTTCATTGGCTGCTTCTTTTACAAGATATCCTGCTTAGAAAATGACTTTATTTGGTTGTGCCCAAGACCGTCCTCTCCCTACTGGGTTGGACCACCACATATAACTCTTCAGTGGCTGCGATCACACAGAACATAAGGCACGCTAGAGGGACGGAAGATAGGCGGATTTTCTGGGCGCGATCTCACCGCCACATCTGGGAAGCGTAGAGCTCCCGTGGCGAACCCGAGGCTTCCCGCGGAAGATGCGCGGTAAAAAACTAGTACCTCGGAGGTACTAGTTTCCTGAAACTGTGGGGCAAGGGCGGGCGTCTGATCACGTTTCTGGTGGTAGTTCCGGCGCCCGCTCATGTCCCCTCAGAAAAAGGTGTTTTTTTCCCAAAGTCTCCACGGATGCGCACAAGCACCCAAGGGAGCATGTGCACATTTGATTTTTTTTTTTTAAAAAAAAACCCCAACCCCGTTTGCCCCGCGCCCCGCTTCTTTGCCCCGCCGCGGGACTGTGGAGTGATGGGCACCTCCCCCCTACCACGGGACCTCCACGGGACCTCGATCGGTAGGTCTGCTCGAGCAACCGTGCGGTTTTTAGCCCCGGGGCTAACAGCCACATTTCCCCCCCGCATTTTCCTGCCCGTGTGACCGGGACCAGTGTTGGTTTTTTAAGATGATACATTGTCAATGTGTCATTAAATGAGAAAACATCAGAAAAGTCCCTCTTGGCCTTTTGACAGCAAGGAAAGCCACTTCGTAAACACTTAGGTGGAGAGGAGAGGTATACACTTTTGTAAAATAAGTAATAGGTGACTTGATTAAAACCCTGACTTGGATGGCCGTGGCCAGCCTCGTGTTGCCAGATCTCGGAAGCTAAGCAGGGTTGGCCCTGGTGAGACCATCACAGAAGATCTCAGGGTCGCTATGCAGAGGCAGGCTGTGGCAGATCTCCATTCGTCTCTTGCCTTGACAACCCTACAGGGTTGCCGTAAGTTGGCTGCAATGTAACAGCCTTTCCACTGCCACCAATTGACTAAAGCTGTCTGCTGGCTGTGTCTAGAAATCTTGCATTAGTAGTTGGGCAGTGAATGGCTTTCTGAAAGCCTTGTTTGCTGTTCTTGCTCCTGATTTGTGATGGCGTGAGAGCTAGGGAGCCTGATTCTGCAAAGTACAGAGGCTCTATCGTACGTTACCGTATTGGCAGGGGAGCGGCTTCCCTACAACTTCATCCCACAGTGCTTGAATACATGAAGTAGTTGTCTGGTGCTGAGTCAGATCCTTGTTCTATCAAGGTCAGCATTGTCTTACTCTGGCTATGGCTCTCCAGGGTTTCAGGTGGGGGTCTTTCACATCATCACCTGCTACCTGATCCTTTTATCTGGGGATGCCAGGGACTGAAACTGGGGCCTTCCTCCTTTGAAGATAAGACATAAAGTCCATGTACTCAGTGTAACTTGATAGGAGGAGTCCACATAGTCATAACCAGTGTTCCCTCTAAGCTGAGTTGGTGTGAGCTAGCTCACAGTTTTTTAGCCTCTGGCTCACACATTTTTGTCTTCGCTCAGGAAGGACGGCTCCAGAGCAAACTAATTTATGCAGTAGCCAAATCGTTTGCTCACAACTTTAATGCCGGTAGCTCACAAAGCAGACTTTTTGCTCAGAAGACTCCACAGCTTAGAGGGAACATTGGATAACATATTCCAAACAGCCTTTGCAAAGACGCCCATTCTAGATATTTGGAAGATGGACTTTATGTCTTATCTTCAAAGAAGGAAATATTGTATCTAATGCCTTATTACAGTTACAGTATGCATAAATGTTGTTGTTGTGACACCACCAACTTTATAATTGTTTACTATATTGTTTTGGCAATCTTTGATGGTGTTTACTACTAGTGGAATTTGTATATTTGGGACTTCTGTGACACTAGTCTTTTGCCCTTGTTTGGATTGAGTTCTTTTAGGAGAGGGCTGTGTATCAGTGGTGGAGTGTCACATGGGCGGGGCCAGATCATTGGCTTTTCCCAATGTCCTGCTCCAAGCCACAACCATACCTGCACGATGTTTGGACTTCCACGTGTTATCACAACTACATATGAAAAGCATTCAGTTTGCCTTGAATTGGAATGTAACTGCTGGATGACATAGTCAAGACCTGACGGGGTCTTGAGTCAGTTGGATTCTTGAGCTGGCCAAACCCAGCTTTGCCTCTCTTCAGGAAACCCCCCACCCACCCTTGGAACAACAAACGATGACACGGTCTTATGTCGGATAGCCCTAGCTCTTGCCTGAGGATTTTCTTTTAAGATCCAGTCGTGCTTAGAACTTTTTTCCCCCCTTTTCCAGGGGGATATTGTATCCTGTGCTGGCACTTACATCCACGTGTGGAGCATTAACGGCAATCCCATAGTGAGTGTGAATACTTTCACCGGGCGCAGCCAACAAATCCTGTGCTGCTGCATGTCGGAAATGAACGAATGGGATACTCAGAACGTTATTGTGACCGGGCATTCGGATGGGGTGGTCCGAGTAAGTACCAGTGGTGACGCTGAAATAAATGTATGGAAGGGACAGCATTTCTCTCTATCTAGCTTTTCCTATGACCACCTCCCACTTGAGACATAACCCCACCCCACCCCGGTCTGGAACACATGAAGCTGCTGAATCAGACCCCTGGGACTCCATCAAGATCAGTATTGTCTACTCAGACTGGCAGCAGCTCTCCAGGGTCTCAGGCAGAAGTCTCTCACATCACCTGCAGCCTGAGTGTTTTACCTGGAGATGCCGGGGATTGAACCAGGGACCTTCTGCACGCCAAGCAGATGCTCCATTGCTGAGCCACGGCCCCTCCCCACCTAGCGGACAGTTTGCATAAGGTCAACCGGCAACCAAATCTCCATAATACTTGGTGTTACATTATCCTCTTAAAATGTTTCATGAAATCCCTTGTGTAGAATTTCTAGGGACTTATTCCAAATTGTAGCTCCTTCTCTGTTCGGGTAACTACTACTAAGGTAGCTTCAAAGATCAGACTCTAAACAAGTGGGTAAAATGTTCCACCCCATTTAATCTGGGCAAACACGACAAACAGGGTCAGGAATGTAATACTATTTTAACTGCCGAATTAATGTCAAGGTAAATGGTAATGGGATTTTTCACGCGTTGTTAGTTTGCCCAGCTCTTCATGGGCAGGAATAGCCGTAAATATGACGGTTATGATGAATTTAAATGTACATTAGAGGGCTGCTGAGATTGCATGTGTGTTTCCTGTTAAAGATATTTTTCTTCTGAATACTAGATTGAATTGCTTTTTAATGGTTTATGAAGCATTTCTCAAGTGTTCCTCTGTGGTTTTGAAAAATGACCATTTGGTTTTAATAACAAATTAGTGTTTTGAAATTGCCAGAGAAGCCCTTGCCAAATGACACAGAGGCCTAATTCTCTCAAATAGCATATGAGGGAGTTAAACGAGCATCTGGGCTGTACCAGTAATACACAACTTTTTCTGAAAGTATCAGATTGGGCTAGTGGAACTCTTTGAATACTTTTTTGGATCCTGTATACTCAGTTCGATTTGAGTCCAATAGCCAGGGATGGGCATGAACCAGCTCACAAACTAAAGTTCATGATGAATTTTGGCCAGTTTGTGGTTCACAAAGTGAAGTTTGTGGCAGCTCAACCGGTATTTCAGACTGTTTGTGGTGGTTCGTGAATTGTCTCCGCTCGGTCTAAATATTTACCAAACTTCAAAGCAACAGGTGGGGTGGAACTCGGAGGGCATGTAGAGGAGTATCCAAGGGAGGTCCCCTGCGACTTTGATGTCTGTAGCTTACACAGGATCTGTTCTATACACTCCTGAACCTGTGCCTGTCAAAATGACCACCTGACACTTCCTCAGAAAGCACTTTCCTGGGGGTGCCTTCTTTGGGGTGCCATAACTTGGACTGCATAAATCCAGTCGTCACCAAACTTGGCGGGCTGGTAGAGGAGAGGCAGCCGGAGATCCCCTGCAAGTTTGGTGTCTCTAACATGCCCGGGGGGCATTCTGCTGAGTCACAAACCTTAGAAATCAAACAAGTTTGTTTAGCCCCAAAAACTTTGTGACGGTTCATGGTTCGCGAACCAGACACACCATGAACCACAAACCAAACTGAATTTTCCCATTTGTGCGGATCTCTACCAGCAGCACCTTAGAGACCAACAATATTTTCAGGGCATGAGTTTTCTAGAATCAGACTCCCTTTGTCAGACACCTGGCGAAGGGAGCTTTGACTCTTGAAAGCTTATACCCTGAAAATCTTGTTGGTCTCTAAGATGCTACTGGACATGGACATTTTACTGTAGACAAGCATGGCTACTCTGTGAAACTGACTATACTCATTCCCTGTTTTTTTTAATGTCTACAAATGATCGTTCACAATTCACTGCTTTGAATCTGGCAAGACAGGATAAAGATATTTCTGATGGCTAAGAATATATCTGTTATTGACACCGATTATTACCAGGTTAATTTGAGAAGGGTCCAAGATGGCGGTCCAAGATCTTCAGATTGCCCAACTCAGTGAATGGGTTTCTCCCATTTGAAATACAGTTATACAGATGGAGACTGCAGATGTACAGCTACAACTGGGTTAGCTTAGTCAAAGGATTTTATTGCAGACAAAAAGAGTGCATAGTTTCCAGCCGCGTATATCTTGGATTCAAGTACGAGAGTTGGCTTTCAGGTTGCATGTCGAAATATTATTCATGTTTGCAGAAATTATCAACTTGAGAACTGATTTACAAATATTTTTGATTGGCTAACATTCTTTTTAGCAGAAAGTATGTACAACCTATGCTGAGCCAGTTTGGTGTAGTGGTTAGGAGTGCGCACTCTAATCTGGGAGAACCAGGTTTGATTCCCCACTCCTCCACATGCAGCCGCTGGTGTGACCTTGGGTCAGACACAAGTTGTTTCAGAGCTGTTCCCTCAAGGGCAATTCTCAAGAGAGCTCTCTCAGCCCCACCTACCTCACAGGTTGTCTGTTCTGGGGAGGGGAAGGGAAATGAGATTGTAAGCCACTCTGAGACTCCTTCAGATAGTGAAGGGCGGGGTATAAATCCAGTCTCCTCCTCCTCCTCTTCTTCTTCTTACCATTGTTCAATTAAATCACAGTGGAGAAATTGAGAGAAGCACCTTTTCTATCATCTTGGATTGTTTACATCAGCAACCACCTGTTTTCCAAGAAATACCTCCATGAACTCCCACAGTAATTTTTAGAACCTTGAAGTTGTTCTAGATGTTCTTGCACAAGCTAACCTGCTGACTGTTCTGGGGGAAGTAAGAGCTTCTCTGTATTATACAGCCTGTAATTTAAAACAAACTTTGATTATAATAAACAGCAGACCATTTACACGAGACAGAAACTTGTGGACTGGAGTCCCTTGTTGTAGAAAGTACAGTACATAAATTCTTAAATGAGTAAACTTTCAGCATCCTGTATGCTTTTGAGCAAGCAAGACGAGAAATATCTGACTTTAAGTTCAGGACCGAACAAAAGTCCTTCAGCATCAAATGAAACGTGAATGTGTGCCAAAGTCCAGCTGTGCTCACCACATTTTGATCTGATTTACCTAGTTCTGGCGGATGGAGTTCCTGCAGGTCCCAGAAACACCAGCTCCTGAACCCGTGGAGGTACTTGAGGTACAGGAAGAATGTCCAGAAACACAAATAGGTAATTATGATGTTAGTTTGTTGCCCCTGCATCTTTCCAACTATGAATTGCTGCAAGTGTGAAATATTTGCTCTTGTGATGCATGTTTGGAATATAGGTGGGGGGGAAATGAACTGTGTTATGTGTTGAAGGTCTGGAACCTCTGAAAGAGGGAGGTGAAGGAGACTTTGAAGGGCCTTGCCTCTTCAGGGCCTCCAGGCATTAACTGTCGGCTTTCACCTCTTGTTTCCTTGAGAAGTGAAGGATTGAGAACAGTCCTTGCCTGCTAGATCGTGCACTAAGGTGCTGCAGTCTAGCAGGAAATAAACGGGCGTAATTTTCCCTTGCGAGTGTAGGGAGAGCCCAGAGCTGAGATAGAGAAAGCAACCCAGGGGCATGATGAGAGGATTTGCACTCTTGGCTTTCACACAGTGGTGTTAAAGTCCAGTCATGTGTGAATCCAGAGCAATGTTTTTCAGTCTTCCTCCAGCGGTTCAAGTGACAGAATCACTCCCATCTTCAAGGAGCCACTGTGTGGCTTTGTCAGCCTGCAGTAGCTGGCTGATTTGCTTAGAGGGCTTCCAAACACACCCTTGGTCACAAAGCAACAGGGGAAAGCCTGGCCATATCTTTGAACGCACTACTCGTCGGCCTTATTTCTGAAGACACGCTTCTCCTTAATAGACCGGCTTAGATGAACACGAGGGTGGCTGTTAGCCTTGTCTTGTTCTCCAGTTGCTACATCAAGCGGCTATGAAATTAACATGGGTAACTACTCCCTCCACCAGACATGGATTGTGTGAATATGGCTGTGTTTGTTTTACGGCAAAGCTGTCGTGCTGTTGGGCAGGACGTCAACCGGGGTCGTTTTTTTGCACTGTGTCTAATAGGGCAGGAAGCCCAGGATGAGGAGAGCAGTGATTCTGAAGCAGAAGATCAGGGCCTCAGCCAGGACACCAAGCTGCTGGAGGGCCAGAACCAACTGGGCAGCGCCAGCCACAGGCCTCGGGCGGCCTCAAGCCGGGCGGCGGCGGCGTGGGCGGCGGACAGCAGCTCTGATGACTCGAGGCGCTGGTCAGACCAGCTCAGTTTGGACGAGAAGGACGGTTTCATCTTCGTGAACTACTCCGATGGGCAGGCGAAGGGATACCCCCACCCTCAGGCTAACCACCCGCATCCGAATCAAGGGCATTACAGCAAGCTCAAGCCAGGTACGGCAGGGAAATCCCTCTTTGCAAAGTATCCCTTGTGGTCTGTGCTGTCGCAGGATTTGGGGATGCTGGATATGGCAGAGTGCAGGACTGGGTAGCACTTTCCTGGCTGAAGCTCTCCCTGGATATTTTTATTCCAGATTAATTGAGGCAATTGCAGCCGGGACCATGGTGGGAGGGGAGCTGCCCAGTTTCCCGGACCTGGAAATACTCCAGAGAGCTACTGTTTGCACTGCTCGATTCAAGTCCAGTAGCACCTTAGAGACGAACAAGATTTTTGGGGTGTGCAATTTTTAAAAATTTGGTATTTTTCAGTTTGTGTCTGTTGCACACACACCCCCCCTTCCCGGAATTTGGTATTTCTGAAAAATCCCAGATCCCCATACTGGTATGGATCTGGGATTTTTCAGAAATCCTGAAAATTTGGGGGTCCAATAGACCCAAGAAGGAAAACATTCTCCTGCAGCCTAGTTTAAACCACGCTGCAGAAGCCAGCTCCAGGATCTGTGTGCCGTGGGGACTTCACTTCCTGAGGCACGCAGATCCTGGCTGGGACAGCTTCTCCTGCAGCACCATGCTGCGGAAGGAGCCAGACCCAGGATAGGCGTATCTCTGGGAGATCGCTCCCTGAGGCACACAGATTCTGGCTGGGATGGCTTCTCCTGCAGCATGGTTTAAAGCAGGCTGCAGAAGAAGCCAGCCCCAAGCCGATCCGGCGGGGTTTGGTCCTCCCCCACTGGGCCCAGCTGAGCCCGATCCTCGGGCTGTGTTCTGTAGTCCCTTTAAACTTTAAAAGGACTGCGATTAGAAGCCCAACAAACAGCTGAGAGGCGGGAGCAATCTGCCCCCACCTCTCCTCTGTTTTTGGATCTACTGGTAATTCCTGCATGTATCTGGGATTTTTTGAGGATTTTTTGGTGGTTTTCCTGGGAAAACATGGATACATTTGGGATGCCGAAATATACCTCCAAAATACCGATAAGGTGTTTTTCGAGTATGTTTTCGGTTCCGGTTGACCTGAATACACACCCCCTAGTGTAAGCTTTCGAGAGTCAAGGCTCCCTTTGTCATCTCTTGTATCTGATGAAGGGAGCTTCGACTCATGAAAGCTCCTCCCCTCAAAATCTTACTAGTCTCTAAGGTGCTCCTGGACTTAAATCTGGCTGTTCTGCTACAGACCAGCTCGGCTACCCTCTGAAACTCTTTGCCCTCTTGGCCAAGCACACACGTTTGGGTACCCAGCAGTGTTCCCTCTAAGTTGAGTTAGTGTGAGCTAGCTCTCAGTTTTTTAGCCTCCGGCTCACACACTCAGGAAAGATAGCTCCAGAGCAAATGAATGTATGCAGTCACCAAATGGCTCGCTCACAATTTTAATGCCGGTAACTCACAAAGTAGAATTTTTGCTCACAAAACTCCACATCTTAGAGGGAGCATTGCAAGGTATCTGAAACTTTTATATACTAATAGCATGTTTAAAGTATGAGAATTGAATTGTAGGGGGAATATTACAACATAGCACATTAGATTTTGTAAAGTTTACCCTGAGGCCAGAAACTTGATTGAATTTTAAAAGTTCTTCCTTTAACCTTCAACTGAATTATTAATTTCACCGTTGCTGCATATTCAGTACTGCATATTTTCGCCATTTCTTTTTTTTTTTGAGTGTGTTTGAATTATTATTATTTTTGACCCCCCAAAGGGGATTTTTTTTTATTTTTGCATTTTCTACACACTACATATATGGAATGGGGAAAGGAATACTAATGCCCTATCACTATTACTATGGGAAATGGGTCAGGGAGATCTAGAAACATACAATCTACTGGATAGGGGAAGGAAAGCTACCATTCTATTCTAAATCTCCTACTGGATATGGGGATAGGGTGGTAATACAAATCACGATCTGAAAAGCTCAAAAAATAGATTTTTTTAACTTATTGGTACAGGTTAAACTAAGAGCTAGCTCACACTAACTCAGCTTAGAGGGAACACTGCTGGGTAGCCAAACGTGTGTGCTTGGCCAAGAGGGCAAAGAGTTTCAGAGGGTAGCCGTGCTGGTCTGTAACTAGATTGAAGGTCAAAGAAGACGGGGACGGCAAAGGATGAGATGGTTAGACAGTGTCATCGATGCAACGAACATGAAATTGAGCCAACTTCAGAGGACGGCGGAAGACAGGAGGGCCTGGCAGGATCTGGTCCATGGGGTCGCAAAGAGTCGGACTCGACTGTGCGACTGAACAACAACAAAAACAGGTTATACAGAGATTAGTTCGATTATAAAGATATAAAGTTATTAGCTTGGCACAATTACTGCCCTTAGCACTCATGCTTTAGTCACTCCTCCTCTTCTTCTTCCTCCTCCACATCCGGTTTTAAATTCTTTTCCTTCTGCTTCTTTTTTACATTAAACATTTGATCCATAAATATTTCCACTTTTGGAACAGAGCCAATTTTATATTTTTTATCCTGGTAATTAAAACTCAACCCTTCTGGGAATAGCCATCTATAGTGTGTTCCCTTTTTTTGCAGGGAAAGGGTAAGCATTCTGTGTAGTTTCCTCCGTTTTCTTACTTCAAATGGGATGTCTTTCAAATTTTTTATCTCTTCATTCTTGATTTTTAAGGATTTCCCCATTGTTGACTTTAGCACCAGTTCTCTGGTTGATCGTTTCGTGAATTTTAAGTAGATTTCCCCTGGGAGTTTATTTTTCTTTATAAAATCTGGATAAGTCCTGTACGCCACATCCATTTCCTTAATTAAGTCTTCTTGTTTGTAATCCATTAGTGGGGCCAAGGCAACCGCCAAGAGTTCCTTTAAGTCCTCATTTTTATCCTCATTTATTCCATGGAAACGTAGAACATACATGGATCTTTCCAGCTGGAGCTGTATTAGTTGGGTTTTATCCGAGGATCTTCTCTGCTTCGTCCACTCTTTTATTAATACTCACAGTCTGTTTTTCCATCTTTTTCAACGTTTTCTCGGTTGCTGTGGTTCCCTTGTCCATCTGCTTTAACTGTTTCTGCACATTATCCAGTTTGGTGTTCAGAGTAGTCATCTGATCCATTAGAGGGCGCAGTGCATTTGCTAACAACGAAGAGATGTCTGTAGATGCTTCCTGGTTCTGGGAGGGAGTCCTTGGTATGTTATTTCCAGTCACCAGTTTTTTCTCCGGCGCTCTCCGTCCTCTCCCAGCCATAATTATCAACAAGATTTTCGCCATTTCTGTGTACTCACTACTACTTTTGGCAAATAGATAATGTGACAAAAATGCAGAAGGGAGAACTATTGCATATCTCATAGGAGGAAATAAAAATGTTTATCTTCAGAACCCACTGCCTCACACACATTTATATTCAACATGTTACATTTAGAACCGATTCTCACCCTCAAACGTGCATGTTGAGATGGTGTTAGAGACGGTCAGGAGAGAGGAGATCAACCTGTCTGCAGACTTGAAAGGAGAGTCAGTGGTGTGGTTTTGTTGAGAGGTATGCCTTCGACCCACTTCCCATAGACAACTGATTGTTCAATACATACTAGGGGAAGCTATAGGAACTGGGAACCCTTCTCCATCAGTGTCATCAAGTTTCCTTTCTGTTTTGTTTGCACTGGAGCATCCTTCGGCGTTTAGGCCCCCGTCTCAGGTTCCTTATCTTTCTGTCGGCCACCTGGAGGTTCGAACAAGGACTGTCGCTTCTGTGCTACCTGCAGACCAGGCTTCTTGTCTCCTCCCAACACGCCGAACTGCCTTCGCAGCAGTTTCTGACAGAATCAATAGTTGATGGCCTTGTCCACTGTGGATCCTCACATGCTAACGCCGTCCTTTTTTGTTTCATAGGCTACAGGTGGGAGCGTCAACTAGTATTCAGGAGCAAGCTAACTATGCACACCGCCTTTGATCGCAAGGACAATGCGCATCCTGCGGAGATCACAGCACTAGGCATTTCCAAGTGAGTGAATGGCTCTCTGTCTGTCCGTGTGCGTCCTCAAAAGAATGCAGCACCAGTGATTGAGGCATCAGAATACACATGAAGCTGCCTTGTACTGTACCAGACCCTTGATCTGTCGCAGTCAGTATTGTGTACTCAGGCTGGCAGCCGCTGTCCTCAGTCTCGGGCAGAGGTCTCACATCACCTGCCACTGGACACTTTAACTGCTGGTGCCGGGGATTGAACCTGGAACCAGCTGCGTGCAAAGCAGGTGTTCTACCACCGAGACACAGCTCCTCCCCCTACCCCCCAAAAAAGCACAGGCTGACTTCAAAGTTTGGTGTAGTGGTTAAGTGCGCAGATTCTAATGTGGGAGAACCAGGTTTGATTCCCCACTCCTCCACATGCAGCTGCTGGTGTGACCTTGGGTCAGTCATAAGTTCTCTCAGAGCTGTTCTCTCAATGGCAGTTCTCTCAGAGCTCTCTCAGCCCCACCTGCCTCACGGGGTGTCTGTTGTGGGGAGGGGAAGGGAAAGGAGTTTGTAAGCCACTCTGAGACACCTTTGGGTAGTGAAGGGCGGGGTATAAATACAATCTCTTCTTCTTCTTCTTCTACCTCACAAGGGTGTCTGTTGTGGGGAAGGCAAGGGAAAGGAGTTTGTAAGCCGCTCTGAGACACCTTTGGGTAGTGAAGGGCGGGGTATAAATACAATCTCTTCTTCTTCTTCTTTTACCTCACAGGGTGTTTGTTGTGGGGAAGGGAAGGGAAAGGAAGTTTGTAAGCTGCTCTGAGACACCTTTGGGTAGTGAAGGGCGGGGTACAAATCCAATCTCTTCTTCTTCTCTTTTTAATCCATTCTTGTGATGCAATCAGGAACATTGGCCACCAGTTACAAATAAATTTAAATTGATTGGACACACTCTCTGTAGTTAATAGGTCTGGGCATGATGGCTCACAAGACCCATTTCATTTGGAGGGGATTGTGTAGGTATGCTTCTGGGATACTATATGGGGGGGGGCAAAGGGGCAGTCGCAGGAATGGTTCTGCTGGTGAGCATCCAAGAGGCATTTGGTGGGCAAGCGCCGGAAGGAGAAAGCTTCAGCAGGCAGCCGCGTTGAGCTGGTTTGACCAAGCCTTTATATCCTAGTGTTTTAAGTGAAATGGGGGAGCTGGTTTCTTTTAACCTTGGGAATCCCTTCAGCTGCTAATACGCTCCTTGCCAGCCATAAGACTAACCCGAAGGTGCTGTAACGTGCGTGTCTTTTGCAGAGACCACAGCAGGATTCTCGTAGGCGACAGCAGAGGCCGAGTGTTCAGCTGGTCCGTGAGCGACCAACCCGGCCGTTCCGCCGCCGACCACTGGGTGAAAGACGAGGGAGGAGACAGTTGCTCCAGCTGCTCTGTGCGGTTCTCTCTCACTGAAAGGCGTCACCATTGCAGGAACTGCGGGCAGCTCTTCTGTCAGAAGTAAGACAGAGTTTTTGCTCTCCTGTGGGTTTATTACTGAGCTGGCCGCTCGTGTCTTTGTAAGAGCGGCCAATATGGGGGCCCTTCATTTGTGTCAGCAGCAGTCAGGCGTCTTCTCTCTTCCCCTCCTTCTCCCCCACTTCACCCATTCAGTGCAATTCTCTAATCCTAGGTGAGTGAGTGAGTGCATGCTGACATTCACAATCGCACGTGGAAATGGGCCAGAATAGTGGCATGGTTCCCAGAAGCTCTGGCTGCCTCCGACATTCAGTTAGGAAACGTGATTAGTTGTTTGAACAGCATTTAATCTGTAAAGGTGAATGCCAGTTGATGGATAGCAGCAAACTACCGCTTCACTCACACTCTGGTCATCCTGAAATGCACCGGCTTGATCACTGCTGTTCGGGCTCTTCCCAAAGCCGTCTTTCTCTGTGGTTTGGCGGAGCCCTGGACACCGACCTATCTTGACCCTCATGACTTCTCCGACCAACACTTTTACTTCCCAACATTTGATTGACACGTGAGAAGCCAGTCGTTTGGCCCCTCTAACACTGGCTGGGGTAGAAATTGCATTTCAGTGCCAGTGGTGGCTTTTCCCTGGTTGAGTTCAGTGGGCTGCCTGCTCACTAGTCCCGCCCTGGTGTCATCAGGAAGCCCCACCCCCCGCCCCCGAGCAAGTTGCAGTCTGGCTCTGATCAAATGAGTGCATGCAAAAAACCCCACCCCCAGCCTTGAACACTTTTCACGTTCCTCTCTTCAGGTGCAGTCGCTTCCAGTCTGAAATCAAGCGTCTGAAAATCTCCTCCCCGGTGCGGGTGTGCCAGAACTGTTACTACAACCTGCAGCACGAGCGAGGCCCTGACGAGGGGTCCTGGAATTAGCAGCGCGGAGAGGCACGACACGCGGGCCAAGGGGCCTCGAGAACTCAGCGACTTGGCGGCAGGAACGAGTAGCACATTCAGAAGGGAACTGCAGTGCTGGCCCTTCGCACGCTTCATCTTTCGACTCGCGTGCTGAAGCACCGCAAGAGAAAAAAGGGATCATTGACTTCAAGCGTCTGTTGGCCAGAGATGGGGATGGAAAGACCCACACGGTCTGTGAGTGGCAGCGGGGAGGCAAGCGGGCGATGGCATCCGCGGCTGAGCTCCCAAGGCCCCCTCTCCCCGGCCGGCACAGCTCCAAGGAAGACACGCCCATTCCTCTTCCCCATCTCTTCTTCTGTCTTGGTTTCGTAGAGCTAGTCACCTTATTGGTGTTGCCGGAAGGAGGCAGCTTTTTAGAAAATAGTTGTAAATCTGCCTTCTCTACAAGCAAACTGTGGATACTGTAAATAGATATAATGGCCTTTTTATCTAAATACGGACTTAACTGCCTGTTACATGGGACTTCAGACCAACCACTATACTTTAGCTCCTCTATCTACTTAAATATGAAATTCTTTTTTATAAAAACAAGGGGGGGAAACATCAAGAGGCATTATTGTTTTTGGTTTGATTTTTCCTTTTTTCCCCAATCCCGGCTGCATGTTTGTCTTTTCAGTTACTTGCGTTAACCTTAATTTAAACCAGGCTCTTCAGATAGAAAAGGGAAATTTTAAAAAGGACAAAAACCAACCTGTTTTCTCGTGGGGTGGGGACAATAGGACTTGGGATAGTTTATTCTCAACTGTAAGATAACAAGGACCCTCTTGGGTGGCATTACTTTTTATACTGAAGCTCTCCAGCGCCTCTGTCTTCGTATTTAATAAGGTCTCTTTTTATACAGAGCAGACCCTGCTGACGGACTCATTCTTCACCACTGCAGCAATCAGCCAGCCCGGGTGTTGCTGACCCTAGATAGCAGTAGATGGCTTGCATGAGAAACTCTTCGTCACCACCGCCCCCTCCCCCCCATGCGCGCACACTGGAGAAGAAAATGAAACAGTTGCAATACCTGCCGTATTTTTCTCTCTTAGGTATTGGCTGCAGGAACACCTTGCAGTCCTTGCTCTTAACAACTGGATAATGCTAATTCTAGGCATGATTCACATTTCTGGTGCACAGCCCCTCCCCGCCCCCCCAATGAATGGGAATATTGAGAGACCGATGGCCCATTTTCCACGCAGTTCGATGAGGCTTGCTTCTTCCCTGCAGCCTTCGCCGAACTGCCCACCATTCACTGGCACAGCATTGACTTTGGGAACATTGACTGTCATTAAAGATGCTCTGTCTTGCAGGTTGGCATTTAAGATCTAACATCTATGCTTCTTCGTTTAAAGTGATTCTTTTTCTCAGTGCAAGAGATGCCTCTACTCATAGACCGAGAGGGAACCTCGTGCATCCAGCTCAGCCCACGGACATGAGGTTTTCAAAAGGAGTTGTGGCTTCTTTTGTCCGGTGCAAAGGTCGTGTATTCTGTAAATGGGTGAGGAGATGCATGGGTCTTGAGGTATTCGTTAGTCACGGTCCACAGGAGGCTCACTGCAGGAAGAGAAAGGTCACCGGCAAAGGTCGTGTATTCTGTAAATGGGTGACGAGATGCATGGGTCTTGAGAATTCGTTAGTCACGGTCCACAGGAGACTCACTGCAGGAAGAGAAAGGTCACCAAAGCCACTGTCCACTGGGAAGTGAAACCGAAGGGACATGTATGTCCCTGGGAGGTTAAACAGAGGGGAATTGGGATTGGTACCACTTTGAGGGAAAACAGCAGGAGCCTTTGCAGTGGTCTGCGCATCTTGCACAGGGAAAAGGGGAGCCTTCCGCCCCGCCCCCACCCGGCTTCTGACACGTCTCATTGGCATTTGGGTCCACTTAATCTTCCTTGTAAGAGAGATTCACGCACTGATTAGAAGGTTAACAATGTATTTTGAGAATGGTGTCTTTTTAACAGCCGTGACAGACGGTTGTGTTTGAAATTGTCAGAAAGCTCCCCAGTCCACGGCATTTCCATTTCTTCAATAAATTCACTTAGTTTAACCCAGACGTCGGTCTCTTTAACTTGAAGGGGGAAAGAAATAATCCAGTTTTTATTATTCCAAATGAAATTCTTAGCACGGGAGGGCAATGCAACTAATGCTGGGTCATTAGAAGAAGGCAGGATGTGTCGATGTTTACGGCGTTCTCTCTTTTGTAAAAAGTTTTTTTTTTTCCTGAGCGAGTGTTCACCTCATGGACACCACGTACCAGTGTTATTCTACACTTCTGACATTTGCCGCTCTTCTCTAATGGAAGGCCACCCCCCCACCGCCTGTGGATGGTTGTGTTAAACCTATGGCGTATTTAAAGCTTGGTGAAGGTTGCACACCCATAGCTGCTTAGTCGGGAGTGAATTCTACACATTGGTATAGCCAACGGGACAGGGTGGTGGCAGAAGTCTCCCTGCTGGTGGGATGGGGGGGGGACACTTGCCTCAACTGCACCGAGATTGTGCACTGTCCATGCTCCATTCATTCTAGTGGCTACTTTCTTGGAGCTGTTAATAGAAGGAATGGACGCTGCTCTTTGTGCCGCTGGGCCTTGCCAACGGTTGGATCTCCTTTAACAAAACTCACAGACTTTCATTGGAGGGGGGGGAGGAATTCTGGAGTAACTAGTCTGCCAGGTGCTCACTGCTTCATACTCCACGTCCTTCTGTTTCTCCAAGGGGCCACCGACGTTTTTGCATCAACACTCCTTGCTGAGGCAGAAGCGTCCCACTGGCCCCCGTTCCTCTGCCGAGAACCTCACGCCTCTCCTCCGGCCTCGTCCCTTGGTGTGTTACTTTTGTGGGGCATCCCCGTGCCCCCCCTTCTGTTCGTAGTGTCCACGCTTACGAAGACGAGATTGGCTGCCTCTCGCCTTCATCAGTCCAATAGCAAAAACACTTTAGAAATGTTATTTTGCACTTTCTCATGTATAAAAAAAAATCCGTAGAAACTTATTTTTTGGCTTTGTACCATTCAAAGACTCCTTTTTTGTTTTAGTAAATGAACTGTGTATAAAAATATTTATGCAGTTAAAACTGTTTTTAGAAAATATTTTTAATTTCAGCAAGTTTGGTTACTTGTTGCATGACTTAACACAACTGACTTTTTGTGTCAGTACAATGTATATTTTTTGTCCTGTTATTAACTGGTAATGCGCCCTAGGTAAACGGCCATTTATTTGTACAGCAACCGGAGTAAACTAAAGATAACTGGCTATGACTGGAGGGGTGGAATTTTGTACTATATTGCAGAATCCAATTATCTGTTTTTTGGTGGTTATGTAAAAGGCCTGAAGAATTACTATCTAGTGTGCAATCTGTGATATCTGAATGTTTCTTGTATATTTGTCTCCAATGCAAAAAGGTAGAGTAACACAACTACAATACATGATTAAATGCAATAGTTCAGGTAACTTTTTTTTTGTTTTCATTTCAAATAAATACTTGCTATTTACCACCAAATTAGTCTGTGTGCATCTCTTTACAGAACTATGGGTGAAAAAAACTTTTTTAACTGTTTGAAACTCTGTTTTCAGGAGCCAGTTTGGTGTAGTAGTTAAGTGCGCGGACTCTAATTTGGGAGAACCGGGTTTGATTCCCCACTCCTCCACTTGCATCTGCTGGATGACCTTGGGCAAGCCATAGTTCTGACAAGAGCTGTCCTTGAAAAAGAGCAGTTTCTGTCAGAGCTCTCTCAGCCCCACCTACCCCACAGGGTGTCTGTTGTGGGGAGGGGAAGGAAAAGGAGTTTGTAAGCCGCTCTGAGACTCCTTTGGGTAGTGAAGGGCAGGGTATAAATCCAATCTCTTCTTCTTCTAAATAAAACCAGTAAAGATACTAGCAAAATACACCTTGAACCAAGGGGAAAGGTCAAGGTTTCCCTTGCTCGAAAGCCAGTTGAATCCAACTCTAGGGGGTGGTGCTCATCTCCGTTTCCAAGCCGAAGAGGCAGCGCCGTCTGAAGACATTTCCGTGGCCATGTGGCTGGCATGACTACACACAGAAGTGCACGGAATGCTGTTTCCTTTCCACTGAAGCGGTGCCTATTGATCTACTTGCAATTTCTTGCTTTCGAACTGCTGGGTTGGCAGGAGCTGGGGCCAGAGACAGGAGCTCACTTTGTCACATGGCATGAGGGGCTCGAACTGCCAAACTACAGACCTTCAGGTCTGCAGCTCAGCGTCTTAACCTCTAAGCCACCGCGGGGAAAGGGGGGGGGGGTATAAAAAGTTAATATAAATAAAGCAACATTGCTTAACTATCATTAGAGCACTTTGGTTTGCTCACCAGCCCTAAATATGCAGTAATACAATATAAGGTTGCCTGGGTTTTTAAAAAATACTGTTCTTGAAGGGAACTGAGCTGTTTTAACCCAACACTGAAGGCTCATTCCTTTCTTGACCTCCGTGTATTCATAGCAGACAGAAGTGGAAAGTGTTTGACTTTACATTTCTGACTTAGGCGGGTTTCAACATTTCTCTCGGGAGAGCAGCCAACCCCACACGGCACAGTTCTGTACCCAAACATGCCTGCACTTCAATAAGAAACCTGATGCTTGGGAGGATGATCTTTAAAGAGAACCAGTTCTAAGGTACATCAAAAATAGCAATTCCATAATGGAGGGGATGAATAAGGATGTGAGGGGATTTACCAAAAAGCTTCAGCCTATCAAAAAAAAAAAACGAATAAGGATGTGAGGGGATTTACCAAAATGCTTCAGCCTACCCCCAAAAAAGCATCCACGGGGAGGAAAGTCAGGCTATTAAGATTTGATAAAAGCTTTATTAACCTCCCCCCACCTCTAAGAAACAGTCAACTGAAACATACATTTCAAGGTTCAAAATTTACAGTATATACACACGACTTTTGACAGTTTTTGCGAAACCAGGTAATAGTGTCTTGCACAAAAGTCATGCCAAGAAAAAGAAAGAAAGAGGAAGTTATTGGGGCAAGGGGGTCGGGGGGTTGTTCCCTACTGAGCAGCCTGTCTGCTTGCAACTTACTCTGTTTCACCGTAAGAATTCAGTTTTAAATTGTACTTGTTAACTTGGTGAAACCTCAGTCTTTCCTACAAGGGGAAATAGAACAGACTAAGAGTGCAGCTGTTGCAGGTGCATTTAACCAAGCACAGCCCCCATCTCCACCTGCTTGTTTGTTTTACATGACGCTTGCCTGTCAAAGGCTGAGGGGTTAGGGAACAGCTCACCCTTAAGATCACTGCTTCAGGGATGTGTTTACTACTGCAGGGAGGGGGGGCGTATGCCTGAAGCGTGTGGTCTCTCTCCTGTCAGTAGAAATAAGCTTAGCTAACAGTCCAAAAAACGTGGGAGGCCTTGCTCAGTGGCATCCAACACCCATTAAGCGTTCAGAAGTGGTAAGGACACACCCAAAGACTCCAGGAAGCATTTGTCTTTTAATAAGTAGCAATGTTTTATAATAGTGTCCCTTAACAGTGCAAACGGAGCTGGCAGGTTCAGCTCATCTCTGGCATTCAATGGCTTAAATAGTCTTTTTTTTAATACAAATGCTATAAAAATTACACCAAAAATAATCCAAAAGATACAATTTTACATTAAAAGTAAGCTTTACATTAAAATTAAGCTTTACAGTTTTTATATGATTCAGTCTTCGGGATGGAATAAGTAATCAGGCAGGGTGTTTTTTCTAACCGAACCCATGTCCTAAGTCCCCAAAGGCTTATGAGTGACAGCTTATTTCAGTGCAAATATTCCTATGGATGCTTCTGAACTCGAACCCGCTGCTGGCATCTTTCCCTTGGCTACTCTACTTCTTCCAGGTTCAGGCCTGTTTTGTTTTCGTTCCAGCTTAACAGTCGTTGCCTGGATCTCTTGGTTCAGCGTGAGATTGTGCAAGAAGTACTCTGAGCTCTCTAACGTCACTGCTCAATACAGAGAAATCCTCAGTGGAAGACTGGGTGGTGGAGGAGACTGACTGTATTTGGAAAACTAAACAGCAGCCCTTGTTCAGTGGTGCTTCCACCTGGGCACTACTGAAGGCAAGGAAAGGAAGCTTTGGAAGTTGGGGCAGAATGGTTTAACCGTGTGCTGTTTTCCTCACTGTGCACAAGACTTGCAATCACTGTTTGCTGGGATTCCCAGAAAAATGAGTCACCCGAAGAAATCCAACCTGTGCTGAACTGTACAGAGGCTACAGAGTCTGTTGCACATGAGGATTTCTTCAGAGAACCCAAAGGCAGCAGCAGAAGTGATGACGTGGCACGAAAAAGGGCGTCTGGATCCTGCCTTAGGTTACCAACAGTGCTGCGGGAGGAGCGGCTGTGTCCCCCACCCTAAAGGCAGACGATCAAGGTCGTGGCATAGAGGCCTCTGACGTGGCTCCCTTCCCACACCGAGCCGGGCCCACTTTATGGGATAATCACCGCCGGTGAGGGAAAGGAGCCATATTAGCCGAACTTCCTGTCTGACCTTCAACTTCTATCGTTCCTAGAGCAGCACAAGGAAGGGAACCCGCGGCCTTCGCTCCCAACGCTGCCGAAGTTATGTCAGAAGGGGCCCTTGCACTGGAGTCAGGTGATATACTTGTCCACTTACTGCAGGTTCTGCAGTAAGCGGGCCACGGCCTTGTATACCCCACTGTCCACTGTTCTTGGTAGGCAGACCTGAAACAGAACCTCCAGCAACCGTGGCTGCTGTGATGATGACGGTCCTCCTGGTCAAACTCGGAGGTTAATCTCTGTCTCTCTCTGTCGCGCACCATCCCTCCTGCACAGACCTCGTCGATCTGAACTTGAGCCCTACCAGAGCACGGACAATTGTTCCAGGCTCACCTTCACTGCTCCAAGGCCTGTTTAGGAAAAGCTTTCCCACAGGTGGCAACCTTCACGCCTTAAATCCTACTTCAGTCACTACTGAACCACTGTTCTTTTTGGCATTTGTGTGCTTTTATGTTCATTGCTCTCATTAGATTTTTTTTTTAAGTCGTTCATTTTGGTTTCTGATGTGCTAAAAGGAAAACTGCATAAAAGCAACAAGGAAACAACTCACGCCACAAAGCTCACAAGAGCCACGTGCCACACAGAACTCATGGAGCTCCGATGACATTCAGTGTGTCCAGGTGTGCTGCTGATGCCACAGATGCCGTAGTTGTATGGGGCTGGCCCAACACCCTTGAGACCGAGCTGGTGGCGGAGGCGCTCACATCCATCTCGTGACCAGGCCGGCACAGGCCGCTTGTCTTCGTTAGGATAACCTCGACAGAACTGAGTTGGCACTCCGATTGCACTAACCGCCAAGGGAAAGTGACTTCCAATCAACGCACCCCGACACCGAGGCACAAATCACCAAGGCTCGCTTTGGAGAGTTGCCGATCCTTGGGAGTCCCCAGACGGAACGTGCTGGTACAGAAAGAGGCCTGTGCTTCCCACTGGCCATTCGGATTCTACTGGGAAGATCCAGGCAACCTCCCCAAAGGCATTTCCCTTTTGCGCTGACTCTGCGCCCACCACTAGGAAAAAAACTAACCTGAGGAACCCTGTGCAGGCAAACACCTGCCGTGGCAGGCTCCTCACTGCAGGCTATTTCCTATACGCGATACGATACAGGATGAAAACAGCAGGTGCCACTGCGCCCCCCACTAGGAAAAAAACTAACCTGAGGAACCCGGTGCAGGCAAACACCGTGGCAGGCTCCTCACTGCAGGCTACTTCCTATACGCGATACAATACAGGATGAAAACAGCAGCTGCCGACTGTTCGGTTGAAGTCCAGTCATTCTGCCACCTAAAACTGTGATGATACCAGTGCAGTGCTACACAGTGTCACTAACTGAGCTGGAGTCACTAAATATCATTGCAACAGAACAAATTTATATAAAGTAATTGCACACCCCCCAGGATTCCTTTAGTTTGCGCAGGAGTGTGTCGCGGAACTGTTTTAACAAACCGTGAAGCGGGAAACAAAGGGACGGGCTGCATTACATCAAAACCGAGACGCGCGCACGGGGGGCGGGCGGGGGGGGGGGGGGGGAGAATGCACACAAAAACATGCAATCGTCTTTAAAAAAGAAAAACTTGAAAATCTTGCATGGCCTCCTGGTTATTCACAGTAATCTCAGTAATAGACATTCATGTCGCCTGACTCACGGTCTGGCTTCAGTCCAACTCCGTGGTGCCTTGCACAAGAAAAACCTGCTCTTCCAGCTGTGCTTTTCGTCTGTAGTCCTCAGTTTGGTCCTCCTACCCCTTCAGTGACGGCTGAAGGATCCCTTTTTCGATGAGGTGTGACTTGAGCGTTTTGTAGACGTTTAACTGCTGCTCGGGCTGGAGTACCAACAACTGTTGCAACAGCTTGCTGGGATTGGGGCCTCTGGCAGTTAGATGAAAGGAGACAAGAAGGGGGGGGAGTCAGTTCTTTCAGCTGCAATGCTACCTTCCCCCCACCCTTTCCTACAGGGTCAAATTCACATTTTATAACGAGTTAGTCTAAAGGTTTTCCTTAACTGCTAACAAAAGGGAAAGGTACCAAATGGATATTAGGATTTGGGGTGGGGTGGGGGTTACATTAAGAGTAGCTCAGCAGTGGAATCGGCTGCCCAGGGAAGTGATGAACTCCCCCTCACTGGGAGTCTTGGAGAAGCAGCTGGACAACCCCTTGTCAGGGATGCTCTAGGCCACGGTGTTAAACATGCGGCCCGCAGGTCGGATCAGCCCTCGGAGGGCCCCAATCCGGCCCTCAAGGACCTGGCTGCTTCCTCCTTCCTTTTCCAGTTCTGCAGCTGCTGCCACATTGCAGCTTGCTTTACCAGTATCTCTCAATCGCACAGGAGAGATAGATAGGCAAGCCTCTCCTGTGTGATCTGAGTCTGGTAAAGGACTGGCTGAGGCTCCTCCCCCTCTTTCCAGAGGGAGGGAGGGAACAACTGGAGCTTGCTTCGTGGCCAGGCTGCAGAAGACAAAGGGAAGCCTTTCTTTCCTTCCCTGGCTGAGGCTCCTCCCCCTCTTTCCAGAGGGGGGGAGGGAACAAGGGAGAGCTTGCTTTGCTGGGGTGCCTCAATCACATGGGAGAAACGCCAAGCACCTTTAAGACCAAAAAAGTTTTGTTCAGGGTATGAGCTTTTGTGTGCCTTTCTACAGTGTGTGTGTGTGTGTGTTTTGTTGGGCTCTTTATGCCAGGGCTCTCCTGAGTGCAACTGGGTTCCCTCCCCCTTTTCACTGTATTCATGCCCTCATGATCCAGTCTTTCTCAGTAAGAAAGCAATGTGAACTCTTTTAGAGGAGTAATAACAACAAGCTAGTGAAGTGGATTAGGCCGAGAGTGTGTGTGTCCAGACCAAGTTCACCAAGGACATTTTCCTTGTAGGAAGTTGTAGTTATTTCTCTGAGGAAGAAGGTTTGTAGACAAACACATGGCCCTCAGTCTGTGTCAGGTTGCCTTCTCATGTTCTTGACCAGCACATGAAGCAACTGATGTACAAAAGCTTACAATGCCTGTCCATTTCATGTTTTCCCCTGGGTCCTAGGCTCAGAACACTGAGTATGAGATTTCTGTAATGACTGTCAATAAACCAAAAGTAGGTTTGCAGCTTACAGATACACACCTGAACAGCAGACTCGAGATTGCTACAGCACAGATATTTTGATGGAATAATTCAGAACAAGAGGTGTCAGTCATCAGAGACTGTTAAATAAACAGCATATTGCAAGAGTGCTAGTGTTTTACGCATGTTTTATTTAAAGTTTTTAAAAAATCTTTAATTGTATTTTTCTGTGTCCTTTAGAAAGTTTGTATGTCCGCTACTTGGTATTACCTTTTATGACACACAGGGCCTGGCCCAACAAGGTCTCATTAATGTCAGATCCAGCCCTCATAACAAATCATTTCAACACCCCTGCTCTAGGCTGATCCTGCATTGAGCAGGGGGTTGGACTAGATGGCCTATACAGCCCCTTCCAACTCTGTGATTCTATGATTGTACATCTACGGCACTTTAACTGGGAAGCTCTAGCAAGCACCTTAGTGAAGCAGCTCTGAACACGTAGAGCAACGTCTACTGCAGCAACACCCTTTCCCCCCTATTTTCCTCGCCCTCCCACCTGAACGTCCATTACTAAGAAAACAACAAAGACTGTCTGTGCCAGAGTAACCAACTTTTCTTGTTTGAAACATGAAAGGAAACAAGGAATTCTTCTCTCCCTCTTCGCTGCCCTTGATGCCAGTGTGGCCCAGGGGTTTTGCCCCCACCCGATCCACGCTTCAGCTTCCACACATAGAGCCCCTCGCCGATTCAAGGAGGTCCAGTGCATCCAGGGGGATTCCTTAGAGGTCTGGCGCAAGGCAGGGGACAGGAGAGTTACCCCCTCCCACCCACCTGACAGGCACACAAAGCAAGTTTCTGTGGAGGTAACGGAGTGGCTGTCTTTCTTGCCCCACATGACCCTTTTTTTAAAAAACCCAAAAACCTAGCTGCTTATCCTGACAAGGCCATACCCTTTAATCACATGAAAGCCTCTTAGAAGTCTTTTGTGAGGGAGCTTGTAAAAAGCTTTGGGGAAGTCCCAGTCTTTCTTGCCCCACATGACCCTTTTTTAAAAAAACCCAAAAGGTTTGGGAAAGTCCCAAGTGCACAGTGCCTCGGGTCCCATTTTGAGAAGCCCAAGGAGTTCTAGGTGGTTCGTGAGGCAAGAATTCCCTTCCCGGATCCTTCCTCAGCAAGGTTTGTGCTAGTATATATCGAACAATTCTAGCCTGAAAAATGCTTCCCAACATTTTATCTGGGACAAAAGTTAAATCTATTCTAATGGATCTCCTGTGAATCTACCATCTCTCCATCTATCTATAATCTATCATCTACCTATCATCTTATCATCTACCTATCAGTCTATCGTCTGTCTGTCTGTGTATTTATCGAGTACTGCTCATACAGCTATTGCCTTAAGCAGAAATCTGTGAATCTTTTATTTAAGTGGTACGACCACTGGCAGCCCTAACCTGGATGGCCCAGTCTGGCCTGATCTTGTCAGATATCGGAAGCTAAGCAGGGTCAGCCCTGGTCAGCATTTGGATGGGAGACCGCCAAGGAAGCCTGGGGTTGCTACACAGAGGCAGACAATGGCAAACTGCCTTTGGATGTCTCTTGCCTTGAAACCCCTATGGATTTGCCAGAAGTCGGCTGTGACATGACAGCAATTTCCACCACTACCAAAACTAGGCACTGGCTGTCTTCTAATTTTCCCACAAGGATGCAGATTTTATAAACATTCTGTATTTTGACCCAAAGAAATGTAAGAACCCTTAGATAACGCCATCCAGCCCCAGTCCTGTTTTTGTTTTTTTGTTTGGTTTTTTTTAAAGTGCAAACTGGGTCATCCTTTGTATCTAACACAATTTTGTATGGTGGGTCAGGTGCAGACAGTGCTGAAGACCAACGCAAACAAACAGTCAGACCTGATATAGATCTTCAGCAGTGAACTCTTAAAGGTGTTATCCGTGTGAATTTACCTTATGAAACTGGTGATGTAGACATGTACAAAAGTAGCCATCAAGTACTGACAGTCAAAGCGATCCATGATTCCACCATGGCCTGGAATAGTGTCTGCAAAATCCTTTAGGGAGACAAGAAAGCACAGAGCAGGGGTCACTGGAGGAGTGGAGGTAGCTGGGAATTTCCTTGCATTGTGCAAGAGGCTGGATTAGATAACCCTTGGGGGTCCCTTCCAGCTCTATGCTTCTAAGCCCCATATAGTGAACACTTATGCTCTTCAACTAGCACCCATTCAGGACAGTCAACTGATTAAAGAAATACTGGTTTATCTCTTGCCTTTTAAATCAATGGACTTCAATGTAAAAATCGTGGCTGAGCTGTTCAAGCGATGGGTCAAAGTGTTTTGCATTGATTAAGGCACCCGTGAGAAATGGGGACACCGGATTTTCAATTTACCTCGCTTAAAAACAATTACAGAAAGGACACCCAAAAGGTTCAGAACGAAACGACTGAATGTGGTACTCACCTTGATTTTGAAAGCTCTTTTGAAGCCACTAGCGAAAAAGCCTCCAAAAGGCCCAATTAAGGAGGCAAATGTTGACAAAGCAATGCTGTGCAACTGGAACGGATACAGGTTCACTGTTTCCTGCAAAAGTGATCATTATGAACATTATCCATCCCCGGTGCTCCTCAATCCAGCAGGCTCTCTGCCCACACCTTCAAACCACTCAAGGGGAAATGCAGCCTCACAAATTCCAACCTGACAAACAAGGACGGGGAACATTCTCTAGTGCAGCAGCTCCCAACCTGTTCAGTACGGTGACCCACAAGCCCAAATTGACTTGGGTATGGTGACCCATCCAAGGCTACCCCAAGGTATTTTTGGGTGCCCTAGACAAACTGTGACCTCAGCATCCATTCGGCCTCGCATTCCACTTTCTACACTGGATCTCCAGATGTCTCTGGAAAACCAACCAACATGACACAAAGGGCAAGAGCTGCCGCCCCCACTATGAACCCCAAGCAAGTGGCGTGGCAACATACACAACCTTTGCATAGGGAGGTCACACTCCAGCCTTTGACCACCCTCCATTACTCCCTCTAATCACCGCTAAGTTGCTAATAAACACATGCTAGTAACCACCAGGACGCATTTTACTTGTGTATGGAGGGAAGAAAAAAGGACTAACTGATGTATGACGTGGAAGAGATCATTCCCGGAGTCAGATCTCTGTTTCCAAGATACAAAAGAGAGCTATGGGAAGGGCAGAGGTGGCCCCTGGGGAGGACTGGCCCGTGACCCACTTGTGGAAGCTTCACGACCCACTTTTGGGTCTCAGCCCACAGCTGGGAAAACACTGCTTTAGCGATGGAGAGAGAGAAGAAGAAAAGACTGGATTCATATCCCGCCCTTCACTCGGAGTCTCAGAGCAGCTTACAAACTCCTTCCCCTCCCCACAACAGACACCCTGTGAGGTAGGTGGGGCTGAGAGAGCTCTGAGAGAAACTGCTCTTTTTCAAGAACAGCTCTGATAGAACTATGGCTTGCTCAAGGCCATCCAGCAGCTGCAAGTGGAGGAGAGGGGCATTAAACCTGGTTCTCCCAGATTAAAGTCTGCGCACTTAACAGAAAGTCAGTTTGGTGTAGTGGTTAGGAGCATGGACTAATCTGGAAGAACCAGGTTTGATTCCCCACTCGGCCACATGCAGCTGCTGGTGTGACCTTGGGTCAGTTACAAGTTCTTTCAGAGCTGTCTTCTCAAGGACAGTTCTCGAAAGGGCTCTCTCAGCCCACCTGCGTCGCAGGGTGTCCGTTGTGGGGAGGGGAAAGGAAAGGACATTGTAAGCCAGGTAGTGAGGGGCGGGGTATAAATCCAATCTCTCCTCTTCTCTTCTTAACCACTACACCAAACATCCATTTCACTTCTTCCTCAACACATAAGCACTTCCAATGACAGCTGTCTTATCAGTAGTATCAGAGGCTGAGCCCGCATTCTCTCCCAGCTGTACAAAGTCTGTTCTTTGCTGACAAGAGAGTGGCAGGCTCTGGTCTCACTGGTCTGAGGCCCGAATGCAGAGATCCTTCCTCCTGCCGACCTGCCAGATGCTGTGGGCTGCAACAGAGAGATGGGGTCCTACGGAGTCTGCAGAAACTCTCAGTCTCAGCTCTCCTGGCTGGTCCTCCAGGCGGCAGGCCTCCAAAGAGAGCAGATTCTTAATTCTCAGCTACCCTAAGGGATCACAGGAGATGGGGGCGAATTACAGGGGCAGAGTATCCATGAAACTCATGATCTCTCCGGGCAGCTGGCTATTTTATTTAATTAATTTGTTTTATCTAACTGTTCCTCAGTGGAACAGGCTTCCTTGGGAGGTGGTGGGCTCTCCTTCTTTGGAGGTTTTCAAACAGAGGCTAGATGACCATCTGACAGCAATGCGGATTCTGTGAACTTAGGCAGATCATGAGAGGGAGGGCAGGAAGGGTTGCCTCAGTGCTGAGTTCTTGTGGCCCTTTCTTACACGCCCAGGGAAATGCTGATCGCCACTTTGGAGTCAGGAGGCAACTGTTCTCCAGGCCAGTTTGGCTGGAGATCCTGGAGGTTTTTATCATCTTCTGGGCATGGAACAGAGGTCACTGGGGGGAGGTATTTGTGAATTTTCTGCATTGTGCAGGGGGTTGGACTAGATGACCCTGGAGGTCCCTTCCAACTCTTTGATTCTATGAAATGTATCCTGCCTTCCTGCCTTCACAAATGTCATCAATTCAAGCTAAGCCCAGACTCTTGGAGCAGGTAAAACAATTAGCAGCCAAAGAGTAGCGGTGCACACAGAAAGGGTATAAAACAAGGGGCATCGGTTCCACAATCAGGGAATGCAAGGAAGGCCTGCTCTTCTCCTTCCCACCTCCTATGCCCAGGCTCAAGTAGAGATGTAAAATTTCCGGAAATTTTGAAGCTCAGAAAAAAACGGAAATTTTCGGAAAAATTGAAAAAAATGCTACATTCTAAATTGAAAGTCATTCTGTTACTTTAGGAACATAAAATATGACTATGGACATTTTTACTTGGCATGAAATTATCACAACTAGCATATTAGAAATATAGTGTATCCAAACAATTATTTCAAACAGAATACCCACCCACATGCAAAAACATCACTGAAACTTTTTTATTTTCTACTGACAATCGCACCTCCTAAAGGAAGAAATGCATCTTGTTCTTGCATTGGAGGGTTCAGTTGGTAACCTAGGACTTGCTTGTCCTCAGTGCACAGAAATTAGATCAATCTGATACCATATATATATATTTTAGAAATGATTTGGAAAATATTTGAACACCTTGTCTTAAAATATTTTATTCATCATGTTAAAATAAAACGTTTCATAATCAATTTTTCCTTTTTTTTTCCTTTTTTCAATTTTTCCAATTTTTCTGAAAAAAACAAAAAGGCTTCAGGAAAAAAACGGTTTTTTCCCGAATTTTTCCGTTTTTTTCCCGGGCCTTCACATCTCTAGGCTCAAGGCACTTGGAGGGGATGTCTCCTCTCATCTTCTGCCCTTGCTGTAGGCAGAGTTTGCTTCTTGTATTTCATCACAGCCTCCCCCCCCCTCCATATGATTATCTACAAAAGGGCTTCCACCAGTCTTTGCGGGCCTTCCACACTGCCCTAAAAGCCCAAGGAATCCAGGGAGAATCACCCCCAAACATGCCAGCAATAGTAATGCTTTCTCAGCCACTTCCTCTGGCCATCCTTTGTCCCAAGACGGATCACAGACACCTTGTTCCGTGCAATGCCACTCCTCCCCTAACCCCAGCAGTGAACAGTCGGATGTCCCCAGCAGCTTGTGCCTTAGTGCCGCCCTGAGCCTATGGGGAGGGCGGGGTATAAATGTGAATAAATAAAAATAAATAAATAAAATAAAAATAGTGGGCTCCTTCCACCACATGTGCCTGCACGCTAGAGAGGATCAGGGCAAGGTACGTCTTGAAGCGCCTCAGAATCTGCAGAGATGCCACCAAGGCATGGTAGGTAGCTTGGATCCCAAACGTGAAAAAGGTCTGATTCAACAGGTGTGTGATCTGCCAATCCAAGCGGGTGCGCTGAGCATTGCTGTGCCAGCCAATTGTGAGACGCTTGAAGGGATCAGTGACAAAACCCTTCGCGAGCCCAGGAAACCACCAGTTGGACAGACTGCAAAGTTATCAGTATCCCCTGGTTTCTGGGCTGGATGTTGTTGGCCAGAAGACCTCCTGTGTACATTCCCTCTTATTCTTCTACCTCTGCTCCTTCAGCTGAATCAAGTGCATCAAATCTAAGTACAAACCTTCTAAAAATGAGGACTGCCATAATAAGATGCAGTTCAGTACACAGCAATAGCCTCTCTCGTACCTTCGGGAGGGGAAGGGCAAAAGACTGTTCTGTTCATACAGTTTCTGCTTTACCTGATCTGAAGGCAGAGAGGAAAAGACAGAAACCAACTTGAGAACTGGTCACCCCTCAGACCCTCATGCTCCTAAACAAACATTTCATCCCATGTTTTGACCTCACAAGAGTCCCACTTTAATTTAAAGGTTCTGCTGTACTTACCCTGCCAAGCACAACCTGTAGCAATGGTGGTATGGCATATTTTTGTAACTGGAACAGTTCTGAAGGTTCACACTCTGTGACAAACCTGTTGGTCTCGCTGTTGTATTCCACGGGGCATACGAAATACTGATATTGAGCCAAAAGGTACGCAGCCTGAAAGACACAGGAAGCAGCCATGAGATCCTTGAAAACAGAAGCCCGCTTCACAAAGTTCGTATGTTTTTCGGGGGGGGGGGGAGTGAACTGCCCATGCCGTTCAATGTGCAACTGAGGCCCAGCTTAGGAGCTACACAGCACAGCATCGTTTCCATGGCCACCACCGTCATGGCTGCTCCCACACAAACCTGGGTAACAAGAACCTCTTCTACCCGCATGTTTAGGACAGATGGCATGGTTACATATCTTGCTGGTGACACCCAACCAGCTCAGCACCCACCACAGCAAACAAAGCCTTTTGTAGCTGTGATCCCCACACTTTTCTAAGCCTTGATTTATCGAGGACCTAATTGCTCGGAAGCTGCGACAGACTGGCAGCGCTTCAAACTCATCTGTGCCAGATTAAGGACCCGGTGCCAAGTAGCACAGCATTAGTATGAAAGGAGAGACATCCACTCACAATGAATCCAAACACGACCGTGGTAAAGAAGCCACCGATGAAGCCTTCCCAGGTCTTTTTGGGAGACAGCTAATCAGCAAGACAGAAAGGAGGAAGTTACAATTCTGGTATCGCAGAACTAACTGAAAGAACACACACGGTTCTTAACAAGCAGCAGGAAAACAACATCAAAAGAGCCCTCTTGTTTACACCTAATAGTTAGGTGATTCCCCGGGGGGGGGGTCTTTTAATCCGCAGTATTACTTGTTACAGGACTATGTACAGCTCCAAGTCACTGCAGAGGCAGGAGCTTGTGATTTAGAGAGCCAGCCTACCCAAAAAATTCTAACTAAAATCCCTTTGCAAGTACAGTTAACTCGGTGGAGAGGGGCAGACGGTGCCCAATATCAGTAGCAAGGTTACGGGCACTGCCAGCTAGAGGTCTTTGAGATGCTACGCAAGATTTACACACATCTCTGGCAAGAGCACCAGTTACCCTAGCAGGAAGCGAGAACAGGATCTGGCAAAGCCAGCAGTCGGGAGGGTGGCAGGGAGAGCTGTATCCCTGCAGCCGCTCTGTTCCGATGGCCAGCATAAACAAACAGCTGGTACATAACTACAGTATCCCGACACCAGAGTCCTTCAATGGCTGCAGTAAAAGATGATCTGAGAAATGAAAGCTGAGAACACAGAAGAGCAAGAAATTCCATTAAGAAAGCTGGCTCTGTGTTTATATATACGTGCATGCGGAACAATGCACCATCAGAAGACGAGTCTAATAAGCCAAAGAAGCGAGAGCTCAACTCCAGTTTGCTAATATTACAGGCAGTCTGCCTCAGGAGAAGGAAGGCAGAAAGCTCTCTGAAACAGCCGTGACTGGTGTGTAGCAGGGGCGATCACTCGGGCCCCAACAACTCCGCTCCCTCAAACAGCACCTTTACAGAGCACCAAAAACAGAAGCCCACCCTAAACACGCCTGCATGGCCTCTGCAGTACTTTTTTCTACTGTTATTACTCACTCAAACGCTGTACCTTAATCAAAGGAGTCCTCCCAAAGAAGAATCCGAAGATATAAGCAGCAATATCATTGCAAATAACACTTGAGATTGGAACAAGAAACCTGAGAAATAAAAGAGGAACGTTAAGAAATAACCCTAACTGAAAATGGTACAAAGGTTCTTACGAAGACTGGGTGGCTTGTAGGAGTTTCTGACCGACTTGCAGCCACGTGAAAACTGCCCCCTTACGACAGTTACTGCTTTCTGTCTTACTTTTTTCTTTAAACGAAAGTTGGGCAGAAACCGGAGAGGAAACATTTGCAAGAGGACCACTTCTCAGAATCACAGGCTGGTTATCTGAGGAAATTCCAAACACTATAGATTCTATACCAATAAGTAACTGGGGGGGGGGGGGGCACCAGGAAACCAGCCGCATAAAAAGATGCAAAATGCTTGCATATACAGGAGGCAAACAAAGCTTATACGCAGAAAGTCTTTATACATAATATGCATGATATTAAAATAAACACTGTTGACCAGGCCCATCAGCTGTGGCTCCTCACCCCCCTCTCCAATCCAAAAGGAAAAGCAAGAGGGTGGAGGGGAGCGGAAGCCAGGTTCCTTCATGCAACACAAAACCTAATTTCCATTTAAATGGTAGGAGGCTGGTGGAGAACAGGACATCAGGGCTGGAATCCAGAGAACTACTTGAGCTCAGGCAAAGGGCTTACGGTAGCCAGGAGAAACAGTTGCCTCGTGCCATTTCACCAACTGCTTTTGAAAAAGTAGTTTGCTATGGAGAGTTCGGAGGGGGCGGGGTTGTGATAAAACAAGTTTAAAGAACCCTTTGGCTCATGGTCCCAGCATCTCAGTGCTTTGGACCTTGGCCAGGGCCAGTTTACAAGAACGCTTTTCCAAAACATACACCCTGCTCCTAGCCAGCAGTTCTCTCACTGGCTCATCCACGTGCACCTATGCCTTTTTTGAAGCAATCCTGGCCTTACACCCCAGGCCTACAGACTTTGGAAAGCAGGTTAGACAGATTGTTTATTGGACTTCCAAGATTTAGGACGGTGACGCCGCTCTGTGTTCTATCTGGATTCTGGAGGAATAAAGTAAAGGCAGTGATCAGAGGGTGAAGAGTTGCAGGTTTGCTGGTGTAAAGGAGCACCCCAGATATTCACAGAACAGGGCACCCACAATTTACTTTCTCGTTGACGCCAGATACTTTACAAAAATCAGATGCGGTACTACTCAATATTGTCAGAAAAAAACAGAAGTGAACGTGTGAAACAACATATAGACGTGTGAGATATATGCTTAGATTTGCAAGAATTGCTTTCCCCTTACCAGATCATGCCTTCAAACAGATTTTGGATGACAAGATGAGATTGAGTTACAGTGATCAGCAAAGTGACATGAGTCCATGCGAACTGTTAACAGTGCAATAACACAACAGTTAGTGACAACAACACAGATCAATACACCTAAATAAAATGGTAGCTCGGCTGAAGGAGCTACGCACACACACACACATCAAACACACACACACACATAAATATTCTAAAACATGAGAGGGTGCACAAACAGCATATTGCAATCTATCTTTGTTAGTTTCTGAAGACGACAAGACAACAGTTATTTTAAAAAAGATTTCAAAACAGATGGCCACAATTTTCCATCTTGTAATTAATGTTTTTTAAAAAATTGTATCTCAATGTGAATGCTACAGAAGGAAAATGATACGTGGTACAATTATTCTGGGTGCATATATATCAAATAAGACATTTTAGAATTAAAACATTGATGCGTCAGTGACAAAGTTATGGAGAAATCATGCTACATAATTATGAACACTCACTAAGAAAAGTTAGTTCCTATAAACAGACATTTTAACAGTTAGCACATTTAACACATCACACATTTGAACTACAAAATGCGCCAGGGATGAAAGACGTGTCCCTCCACATCAGTGAACTGCTTTTTGTTGTCTGCAGTGATACTTATATAATTAAATAATTCCGGTACAGCTCACATCTGCAGACCACTGAACAATTAATATTTAGGGGCTGGATTTCCCCGGACACTTTTCTCCACTCCAAACATGCATAGAACCATGCAGTGACATGATGTGCTATCTCGTGACAGGCAGATAGAATCTATGATCCCAGAAGCTTATATGATGGGCATGTGCTCATTCTACTAGGGAGGGGCTGCAGCTCACTGAGGGAGTGTCTGCTTTGACTGCTGAAGGTCTCAGGTACACACCAAAGCAAAGGACCGGTGAGTGGATGATGTCAGAGGCCCTGGAGGGCAGCTGCCAGTCTGAGTAGCCGACACTGGCCTTGCTGGACCAAGGGTCTGATTCAGCTTAAGGCAGCTGTGTTCGTGTGTCTAGTATGCCTTAACTGTGCATCTTTGATTATGCTCATCAAGTGACTGATGTACTCTTTGAAGTTTGGGGCATTATCACCTGGCACAGCTGCAAGCATTTCTGCAACCATCCTGAAAAAACAGTGCTGTTTGGAGGTTATCCCAAAAAGACTAGCTCTTATGTTCTTATGTTCTTATCCCAAAAAGCCTATTTGTATTAAAAGGAAAGATGATAATCATAGGAGGCTGGCATTAGCTGAGAACTTTAGAACAAATCTCTTTTCTTTTGGGCTATCTAGTTTTTGTAACCTCGTTTAAATTCCAATCAATGTTTTCCGGTTTTTGCTCCGAGGATTTTTCAAATGCTCAGTCAGTTCTGCCAACAGACGTCCGCAGAAAATAAAAATTTTACTTCCCCATCAAAGATGCAGCCAACACTCTCGCCTGATGGAATGAAGGCTCACAGGAATAATTTTCAACAGAGGACAACAGCAAACCTATGATTACACATTGCCTGCAGTATCTCTGCCACAGCTCCAAGTCATATTTGTATTAATAAGCATGGGGGGGAGGACACAACTTTGACTTATTGTTGCTTTAACAATGCATTTTCAACATTCCTGGAATAGACTAAAGCGGCTGGTTATTCTGAGACCCAAATTAGCAGTTAAAGGATTTGTACGCACCATGTAAAACTGCAGACGGTATTGCTTCTTCACCAGACTCAACACAAACAAGCAGAAACCTGGGCAAAGAGCAGAAGACACATTTGGCAACATTATTCTTGTTACAAGGAACAACTAAAGTGTGACTGGGAATGGGAGGGTTTCCCACTACATCAGCCTTGCTGTACAAGCAAACGTAGGCCCACCCTATGTTATTTAAGAGACTGCAGCCGTGGCTCAGTGGCAGAGCATCTGCTTGACATGCAGAAGGTCCCAGCTTCAATCCCCAGCATCTCCAGTTAAAAGGACCAGATGATAAGCCATGGGAAAGACCTCGGCCTGAGACCCTGGAGAGCCACTGCCAATCTGAGCAGACAATACTGACTTTGATGGATCAAGAGTTTGATTCCGTATAAGGCAGCTTCACGTTTTCATGTGACTCTACCTTTTCCCCAGAGAATGATAACTTTTCCATTACACCTAACGCGACACAGAGCCAGGTTAGTGCACTGGGATCAATATTTCCAGATCCAGGGATGTGACAGTAAGGAGCAAGCTTCCAAAATGTGTGTATCCCCCCCCCCATAATTTCAGGTATGCTTCTACCCACAGAAAGCATTACACTGCAGGCATGATTTTTCCTTTTTGGAGGCTAATGAATCCTCAAAATTACATCTCAGGTGATCAGGAGAACAAAGAATGTAGACAATAGTTTGTAAGCAAGACTATTTGCTTCAAAGCCAGGTACAGCTTGTAAGGCGTGTGGGTTTTATTATTAAAAGCCTCAAGTAAAACATAATCAAACACATCCTTGCAACAAACAGCCCAGCATAGAAATCAGCTAAAAGCTGGCATTGTCAGCACTCTAGAGCCCCACCAGCTGAACACTCTGAAGGCCTAACAGAGAATAGAGGGGTCTTTATTGCCCACCTCAAGCAGAACAGGCAGGAGGCTCTTCTGGGAGGAGAGGCTGGTGTGCCATTAAGTACAGGTATAACTGAGAAATATTGCTTCTATATTCACATGCCTTCTCCTGTGATGTCTTTGGATAACATGCTGTGTCTTGTTTCCTGTTGCAAGCCAAATGGTGAGGCCACATGGCCTCAATAGCCATGCCATAAACCCACATTCTTTCACACTTTCATGCCAAAAGCCAGACCTCATGGCTCCACACTCTGGCCCACTTGCGACCAGTCACGTACACAATGAAGTAGCTGGAGTTTGGGGTCAACTGACTGCAGACAGGGTCTACAAACTTCCAGCCAATCCCACAAACCTGATGTTAGCAACCATGACAACCAACAATTGGGCACACCCATGCCCACTCGCAATTGACTGATGGCCACGGCTAATTTGTGACTGGAATTGGGATATAATTGATTGATCCCTATGGGAGTGACTCTCTTAGTTCTCCTTTCCTTCTCTTGTCATTGTCTGTTTTATTGCACCTGAAGTGCTGTCTCTTGGAAAACAAAGACCTGCTTTGTGACTTGGAGAACATGGGTGTGCAAAAATGGGATTTCCCTTCAAAATCCCTTGGACTATTATGTACTGTGGATGTTCCTGATGTGGTAACTAAGGCAAATTGCCCTAGCCTTTGTTATTTTGTAATCTCCTAGTCTGTTTGCTGTGCTCTGTACTGAATAAAGATCCTTC